CAATATAAGTACGTTGACTTATCAATAAATCAAACAAAATAAAAAAAAAAAAAAAAAAAACCAAAAAAATAATAATAATATTGTGGTTGACAGTAAACGACAGTACAATTACATAAATGTACTGTTAGCGATAGTATAATTACTGTGAATGACAGTATAATTACGGTCAACGTTCAGCGACGTGCATAAAAAAACGGATAAAATTTTAGGAGGGGGAATCAACGCCGAAAACTGGCGGCGAAAAAATATTTAAAAAAAAAAAAGTTTAAAAAAATTCAAAGTTGGATTTTTGTAGTCAAAGTTGAAGTTAAATTGGGGTCACAGTTAGGAATTGAGTTCAAAGGACTAGGGGTAATTTTGTCATATGCATTAATTTTTCCGTTATATATTTATAGTACATATTAAAGGAATAGACTTATTTACGAAAGAAATATAACGTCTGAACCTAGAATAGTAAAAATGGTTGATATGTAAAAAACCCTTTTATTAATTGGTGAAATCAGGCACAATACAAATTTTAACATATCTCTATTATTTAATAATTTATTTATTAAATTAATTGATGCAAGCAGAGTTGGTTGAGTTTTTGACGCCTTCCAACTCTTTTCAGACTACGATAGCAATGTCAAAAACAATGTCCGACATTACATATTCTCTTTTAACGTCAATATATTGAGTTGCTACTTCAACTCTTCAAGTTCCTTGGAGTAATTTGCACAAATCTTCTGTGTTTTATTTTATTCACTACCCCTAACGGAAATAAACATATTGACTTTAAGTGACTATTCTACCCTCGTTAAATACAGCATAAAACAAAATAAAAAACAAATCATTAGTAAAAAAAAAGGGTCAATTTGTAATTAAAAAAATTCGTCATCTACAACCAAACACGATTCTTCCCCGTTCATCAGCCATGGTCATCTCCGTATCATACACCACACTCACAATGAAGGCACCAAAGGCGAAGAAGAGCAGTCTCGGAAGCCTATAAGGCTATAACGGCGTGCTACAATTGAGAGACCCGGAGAAGAATCCAAAATAATGCATACAATAGTTTTTTTGTGGATTTTTTTTTCTTCTAAAAAGCTCTGTTTATTCTGACTTTTTTTCTGAAAATTTTCGATGAGGGCAAATATTTTCTAGAATTTTCACTGGATTTTGCAGAAGAATAATGAGCTTGAATTTTAGATATTATTCACAATTTTTGGTTTTTTCTTCATCTAGATTAAAAGAGAGTTGAGGGTCAAATTTTGGTTTTTCTTTTTCTTTTTTTTTGGGAGAGAACTTGGTGCTATGAAATTAGAAAGTAAAATGAGTTTACATGTGCTCTACAATCCAATAATCTGAATCCTCTTTAGTTATCTGCCGAAGTTTTGTCTTTCCTATTTATTCGGCCTTGTGCCTGAATGGGAATACTGTAATTCAGTCCCTGACTTGGGAGAAGAGAGCTTTTCTGAAACTTAAATGGACTGAATTGAAAATATTGAAAAATTGATTGGGGTTTTTTTTTAATTTATAATTTAAAGGGCATTTGAGTCTTTTCACGTCAAAAAACCGAACCACAATCGCATATTTGGCGAGTGTATCATACGACCAACTCGCCAAGTTCTTACTGACTTTGAATATATATGGAGGGTTTGTTCTAATTATTTTAACATATGGACTTTTTTAGCCATTAAACATTACACGGTCTACCAAATGCTAAAACCTCAAGTTCCTTCCCACAAGAATCCCGCACTATAGATATGTTGCAAATTAAATTCATATAAACATATGATAAAAATGTATTATATTTATTCATATAATTATTCAGAAGCTGACCAATAATTAAATTACAGCCAGTTTTATTACTTTTTTCTCATTTATTTATGCATCTAGAATATCTAGTTCAAATCGGCAGGCGGCCGGCGTTGATCCTCCTTCACTATAACATAAGTAACGTCGAATACAACTCCCGACAAATCAATTGCTTTTTTAAGTTCACGTACCGGTGAACCAAGTGTTCTGCAAGAAATAGATACGGATACAATCTCCGCAATCTTTCTTCTAGCCGACATAATTTTGTGAGTTCCAAACGCCGTTTTCGCATCACTTAGAAGCACATTGGTCAAGTTGTAATAATTTAGACAACTTACGTACAAACTCTTCTCCTTATCGGGAAGAGATTTCGTCTTAATCGAATCGTTTAGCAGGTCCGTTGCGATTTTGACTTGGTCAAGCGAAATGGTCAAAGAGCCTAACCCGAGATCTTGAAGCGACGTAGCACCCTTAGTCCGTTGATCGTTTTGCAGAAGAGAGAGACATGCGCTAGGGTTTTTGGTTCTAGGGCATATGTAAGAAAATAACTTATTGTTTTGTGCATTGGTTGTGATGCTTAATAAAGAGACTACGAAAACGAGTTTCAGAACACTAGACGAAACATAGGAATATTCCATTTTTTCCGAAAAAAAAATATATTTAAATTTTTTTTATTTTTTTGGTTGCAATATAGGTTGAGTTATGTTTGATGATTAATTGAGACTAATGAGACCCCTTTTTATAATAGGTTTAGATTATTATCATTTGTGAATGTGTGATTTATTTTTATTGTTATTAGACAAATATCTATATTATTGTTATAGGTTAATATCTCTGCAGATTTTCTTACTTGCCAACTTTCATTCTGCATATAATTCGATTAATTACTCTTCGAATTTCTTAGGAGATTGAACTTAATTCGAATAATCGTTAACATTGTCATGAATAATGTTGACTAACACTAATGCTTAAAACAATCAAAAGGAACTTTGCTATTAATGCGATATATCCTCAACATTCTCGATCGTTGTCTCCAATTATAATTTTGATTAATATATCTTGTGTAGAAATTAAATGTCGTGTTTAGTATTGAATTTAATTTTTTTAATTACATGTAAGAATATAGCTAGGGGGTCGAGGGACAGTATTCGAACCCTAAAGCGTGACGGTTTGCCCCTAGTGATAAAAACTACATATTAACTCTCATAACGAGAGTTGGCGGGTTAATACGTCATTTTATTTTGATAATAAGAGAATCCGATCGACTAGTTTGATAATACGTCATTTTATTTAAAATTATATAAAATATGTCTCTTTATACACGAAATGGCTTCATATGTTAACAATTTCTAGCTCTGCAGAGATCCTATTCCTAAAGCGTTATTGAAGATATTAATATATGTTGAATGACCATCTGAACCAAAAGTTTAAGCTAGTGAAATATATCATTTAATATTTAATATAATCATAGTACTAGGTCTTTATCTTGTAGGGATTTATAGTACTTGACGACGTCTTTTCATCGAAACACGAAAACATAATCAGAAAGCGTTAACAATATTGAGATTCGAACTCGATTCATTTGATATCGCAACTAGATTATCCCTTGCAGGATTTTTCACCAATAAGTTATGCATGTTTGTAACCATGTTATTAGTATACATGTGATTTTGTATTGTGTACGTATTGATGAAACGAATACGTGATGAAAAAAGAAAACAAAAATTAAAAAAAAAAAAATGAACGGTTAATGGTGATGGTTACGGTCAAAATTGTCAGCAATGGTCAAAATTTATTAATTGGTGAAATCGCGCAACAATACAAATTTTAACATATCTCTCATTATTTATTTATTTAATTAATTAATTAATTCATGCAAGCAGCGTTGGTCGAGTTTTTGTCACCCTCCAACTCTTTTGCAACGACCAAAGCAATGTCGAAAACAATGCCCGACATTACATATTCTCTTTTAACATCAATGTATCGAGTCGCTGCTCCAAGTTCCTTCTGACAAGAATCTGGCACTTTCGAAACTTGTTCGAGAATCTTCCTTACCGAACCAAACTTATTCTCTCTCAAAAAAGTTTCTGCTTCACTTAACTGCTTCATGGCCGAATCGTAATTATTGCGACAATCCAAATATTTCTCTTTCTGACTAAGATTTTTTGTTTTCATCCGCAAATTATCGAACACGACGAGTGAAGATTTAGCTTGGAAAAACGCCATGTCAAGAGTTCCTAATCCGAGATTACGAAGAGAATCAACGAAACGAGTTTTACGATCGACTCTCAGAAGAACATGACATGTTTTAGGCCACTTCGTTTTCGAACATATACACGAAAACAGCTTATTTGTGCTGATTTTTGCATTAGTGCTGATTAGTAGAGAGAGAAGGAAAATAATTTTGAGAAGTAGTTTCATTTTGGTGTATTGAGAAAATTGGTGTGAATAATTATGTATATATATTCATTGACATCTCTTTAAATTAATACATTTTAGATATGTGATTAATAATTTAGTGAAAATTATCATCATGTTTATTTGCTTCGAATAAAATGGAGTTAATTATTTTCGATGATTATATTAACCTAATCTCTACAATCTTTCGTATATATGTCAACTTCCTTTATAATTTATTCATCGTTAGTTCTCGTGATTATTGCTAACAAATTATATTGCGTCGTTTTAATTCGAACACATAATACGAATTGTCGAGTTCTAACACAATGAATTGGTATATCGTATACATAGACATAGCGAAAAATTAATTTTTATACGTGGATATGCTTCTAATAATTAAATATAAATTCTCAAAATAGCTCTAAATGTAAATATTTCAAAAGGATTTATAAAATAAAATTTCGGTATATTTGCGTATTAGTATCATAGAATAAATAATGTCTCATTTACTACGTGGCACGACACGGGAAAATAGGGGATTATTTTACATAATCTACAAGCTTCTACTAAATACAAAGCTGCAAGGATAGACTTGTAAGAACATTCATAGTTGAGGGAGCGATTATAATTACTCAAACATGATGGGTTTTTTCATAATTTAGCCTTACTTCAAAGATGGGCGTAACATACCCCTAAAAATAATAGGAGCACAAATACTCGATGCAACCTTCCAATAATTATTAAAGTGTTTTTAAAGTTTGTTGCATTAATATTTCAAAAAGTATTAACTTAAAACATTAGTTATTAATGTTATTCAACGATACATTAAAAATATATTAATGTATTCAACTACAATACACCTGCTTCATCATAACAATACAATAATTTTTTTCAGAATAAATAATTTAAAACATAAAAATAAAAAAAATAAAAATGTTCAAGCCGAAACCTTCACTCACAAGCAGGCTTAGTATCAAAGCTGCTCAAGCAAATAGCGAAAGCTTGAAAAGCAGAGATCGGGTACCGATAATCCATCGTAAATATATCTTTCCCAATCTTCCCAAACTGCAAAACCACCTTCTCTTGCTCAGCGGCCGCCAGGTCAACCGAAGGGTCAACCGATGCCGCCACAAGCTGGAAGTTCTTGACCGACGCCACAGTCACCCGCCCTTTGAAGTTCAGGCACCAGCACTGCAACTGCTCGTGCCACCTCGGCGACTTATTCTTCAGCACAAGTGCCGCTGCAGCTCCTCCAATATTAGTATTATTGTTATTATTATTCGAGATTGCCGACAATGCAGAAAAAGAAGAAGAAGAAGAAGAAGATTTATTCTCTTCGAAGCACTGTGGAAAAGAAGTGGGGGTGGGGGCGGTGCCCCCCTCCTGGATTGAAGAGAAGGGGATCGAGTGCATTGTGCATTGCATTCTTCTGGGCCCTCTTGTGCGTAAAACGTTGAGTTCGTAGGAAATTGTGGATACAGTGTAGTTGTATGCGGGTAGTTTCGGAGATATTTGCTTAGCGTTGAATCTTCGGCTCTGCCGACTGATGTGTTGGGCGGCACCGTTGGTTGGGGGCTGGCTGTCGTATATGGTGAATTTCGTTCCGAGAAAATTGGACCTACATTGAGGTTTTAATTGAGTTTAGAGAGAGAAAGAGGGGAGAGAGAGAGAGAGAGAGAGGAGAGAGAAATGTGAGAGTTGGACTTGCCTGAGTTTACCAACAAAAGTGTTGCTGGCTCGAGAAAAGTCGTCGGCGACTAAAGAAATGACGAAATCTGTGCTTGTTGCCCTTCTGATCTTTTTGGCGGCCAATAATAATTTGTCGGGCTCGTTCTCAGCTGGAATTAGATACAAAAAGTTTAGTGGATGCATTATATTGACTAATATTACTATGCAATAAATTATTGATTTTCGATAAAGACGATTTATGCTCGACGAAGAACCAAATAAGGAACAAAATAATATTTAGATTTGTTAGAACTCAATCTATTCGGTCCAAATTGAGGCATATATTGCCAATAGAGACCCAAAGACGACATTTTTCTTACGTTTTTTTTTTCCTTTTTGACAAGTCTTATTTAAGTTTGTATAATTTCGAAATTTCATCTAGCAAACCACGAATTAACATTTCCCGAAACGCCATTTGTTCCAAGTAGAGCTTAAGAAAAATGCAAGCTTTTACATGTTAAACAAGTATATGTATCACCGTAAGACGCATATGTTGCCAAACATTAACCAAACAACTAATAGCCGACACAAGAAAAACAAGAATCACCACTTTAAAACATTATTAACAGAAAATTGAAAACTTTTCCACATGGACACATAAATAGATTACTTTTTGCAAGAAAGGTTAAAAAAATTAATAATTAAAAATTAAAAAAAAAAACGGCTTACATGGCGTCAGTCCAAAATATAGTCGGAATGTGGAAGTTGTCCTATCCCTCTTAATAAAGCATTGAATTGGAGCATCTCTAGGCCCCGGCTAGTACATCAACAACACAAATCAAGAGAGATAAACATACGAACAAAAAAAAAAATCAAGAAAAACGGAACGGACAAACGAAAAAAGAAAAAAAATACCTGCTTAAGCGAAATGGGGAAGGTGAGCTTCCCACATTCCTCGGGAGTTTTGACAATCTCCTTCGTAATATCTCTCCAGGATCTACAAACCGACGCGCAAAAGACAACAACCGTTCTCGCAGGCCAAGCCGTCTCGCTCTCTTCGACTCGTTTAATGATGTCCAAAAGCAATTCGGGCGGTAGATTCGCCCACTGCCCTTGCTCGATTGCCTCGGAAGAAGCAGCAGCAACGATATCTGGAGCTATAAATGATCTGCCTTTGCTTCTCCAGTGCTTACCCTCGAAACCCCTTCTCGATTTGCTGCCTATCCCGTCTCTCATCTCCTTTAGCTCGCGTACAATGCTCTTGAACGACATCTGTATGTGGACATGATTTTCGAGTTTTTTAAGTTATAAAATATTACGAAAAGATCGAACAAAGAAAACAGAGCAGACATGTACAAACAAGGGCAATATAGAATTATAGCTGTTATTATTTTTTCCAACAATTCATATCAAATTAAACCCCTGTATCAGAATTGTATAATCGGAGTTATGAATTAGTCAAACTGCAGGTTATATTCAACAAAAAATAATTAAATATATCTACACTAATTGAGCAACAAAGGGCTTAAAATTTTAACCTAGTTTTTTACGAATTTTATATATTTCATTACATTCAACCCCAAACCCTGAATCATCGGAATATACCAAATTTCTTCAAAATTAACAAATTCCACAGCTCGAATACTGAAAAAAACAAAATAAATAAAAAAAAATCCAATCTTGAAAAAACACAGAAAGGTAATTCGTCGCATTTATACCAACCCCATGAGAATTATAAATTAAAAAATTAAAAAAAATTAAAAAAAAAAAAAAAAAAACCTTGAAAAAGCAGGGATCCGATTAGGGCAAAATCAGATCAGAAGAAGATGTGCAATGTGGGACCCAAATCAGCTCCCAAAATCCTCAGCATTTCTCCTACCGCAGCTGAGATTTGCACCGCCGCCGGCCGTCGGCGCCACCTTCTTCCTGGCGGAGAGCACGGTAAACAGGGATCGTGACTCAGGCGAGCGGGGGGGCGGAGATAATTAACAGCTCTTTTTGGACAGTAGTTTTCAGGAAGAAAAAGAAAAAAGAAAAAGGAAAAGCTTCCTCTCCCCTGCGAAATTTTGCACGCCTTTAAATTATACTCTCTCTCTCTCTTCTTTCTCTCTCTAAATCGTCTTTCTGTGTATGGCTGTACTAATTAACTCCCTTGTGTTTGGATTTATGTGATTTAAATTTTTGAAAGAATAAAAAAAAAAAAGTTACCTAAATAAACTGCGGTTTTTTTGGATAAATGTCTTTATATTTCTTTACCCTGGGTTTAATCCCATCTCTCCCTTCTCTTAAATATTTCACCCTGTTAAATACCATCGGATAATTTCCTGTATTTCAATTTTTATTTGAATTACACACAGCCCCACACACACACACACATATATATATACACACACACGCATGTAAAATATTTAAAAATATATACACGTGTATAGTAAAATAATCAGGTGAAATTTGGTCGAGTTTAAAATAAAACAAACCATTTAAATCGGTAGGTCAAAGTAATTTGAAAGATACAGGGGGTTTATTTGGTATGGATGAAGTTTTACTGACATCATAGTAGAGGGTGTTCACTTGGCTAGTAAATCGAGCGAATCAAATCAAACTGAAAGTTTAGGACGTGATAAATACCAAACCGAAATGTGTTTGGAATTTTGGTATTCGGTACGGTATAAAGTATTGATATCTGGTATATTATACTGTATCGACTACGGAAATATTTAATAAATATGGATTTTTTTCTTTTATTTTAAATTCTGTAAGGCTACAACAAATTACAAAATATTTTTAGATTGATAAGTTTTTCCATTATTTACAAATGGGATGTGATAAATGTCGTTCAAGCTTTAATAATACCGTTTCAACTTCAAACGTGATTTTGATCATTTTTTATTCCAAATTTTGCAAAACCCGAAAAATAGAATTTCTAGTATTCTGAGATAGTTTTCTAATCCAACTTGAATCACCAAAATTGGATGTCGGACGAGAAAGATATACATGAATCAATGGATAATGTCCACAACTTTGATGTATTGAGGTATCTAAAATTCAAAATGTTACTCATTCATGCATAACTTTGTCACATAACATCCAATCTAACGGATTTAAGTTGGATTAGAAGGCTAACTAAATGGACTACGGTTTTCGTGTTTTGAATTTTGCCAAAATCAAAATAGAAATATGTCAAAATCATATTCGAAGTCACAACGACATTAATAAAATTGAAACGACATTTAACATTTCAGTTTACAAATTCGCATCTATTGATAATCATTTTTTTTTACGGCTAGTTATAAAAATTTGAATGTCAAATTCAAGAATACTATATTTTGATTAATATTTTTTTACATAAGAAAAATATATTTTTGGTTTTACCGATTTGTACCAAAAAAAAAATTAATTCAGTAAAAATCGCGCTGAATCGAAGTACACATTGAAGTATCGAAACTTCAATTTGCCGAAATTCCGATACGATATTACCGAATGAACGCCCCTACATTAAATACACTCATTTATGTTCTTTTAATGTGTGTATAAATTTAACAAGAGTCATATGGATGGATTAATTGTTTTTTGAATTTATTTAATTTGATGAGAGTCAAGAAGAAATAGGTGATGATAGTGATCCATTAGTCATGATGAATTTACCTGCATTCACCTACGTCAATAAGGTATTCAAGAAAAGTAGTGAGAAACTTTCTTGAATTCTTTTTTTTTTTTTAAGATTATGTTTTTATTTATTTTTTCATTCAAACCTCTCATAATATATGAGGTTAGGCTAAGAGGGTGTTTGGCTAAGTTTTATTTAAACAGCTGATAAGCTCTTACGTCTGATAAGATGTTTTAAGAGTTCATAAGCTGTTACATCTTATTTTTAGGATTAATTTTAGAGTGCTTGGATAATGAGCTTATTTTCTATTTTTAGTTATTATAAGATGTTAAATAAAAAGGTGAGGTGGAGGTACTGTTTTAAAAAGATCTTATTTGCTCCTCAACAGCTTATTTTGAAAAAAATTAACATCTTTTTTTAAAAATTTGCCAAACACTTTGGAAGAGCTTACAAGGTCTAAAACATCTTATAAGCTCATTTTAACATCTTATAAGCTTAGTCAAACACCCTCTAAAAACTCCAACATGTCAATAAGTAAAATAATAAAAGTTATCAATAATGGTAATTGCTATAAAAAATAATTAAAAAAAAAGGGGCCCTAATCTACAAAACGAAAATACATAACTATAGATCGATACGATAAACAAAACGGTCGTCTGAAAAAGTATATCTGAGCCTAAGCCATGCTAACAAGGTTAACAAATCGATCGAAAAAAAGGGCTAAACAATGAACCCGAATTCTTCGGTTTTTGTTTATGTAAACATAACTGATATGCTAAATCCCACACCAATTTTACCAAATCATACACACAATTGAAAAATATTCTCTCTCTAAAATTTCATCTTTCTCATTCCCCACCCTTCTTCTTTTTCCCTAATTTTTTTCACAAAATCACACACTAAAAACGTCCATATCATTTCAAGTTCGAATTTGAGAAAAGTCTTCATGCGTTCAAACTAAAATAAAGTTGGAATATGAGAAAAAAAATTCGAATTGATATGAATTTAAATAATTAAAAAGGCATAATGAAATTGAAAATTATTAAATAAGCCTAAACTCACTTTTTTTGATTATTCACGTGAAATATTAACGAATTTTGAGTGACTTGAAAAAACTCATCGTAGAAAAAAGTTAGAGAGAGTATAAGTAGAGAGATATTTTTTTTTAATTTATGTGTGGGATTTAGTAAATTTTAGTGTGGGATTTAGCATGCCCCTAAACATAAGCATATAAGTCCAAATAATAATAAAAAAACTTATGTTTGGGTAATTACTATAACCAACCCCTCAACTATGAATCTTTTTACACGTTCATGTTTATGGTGTTAAATTCAACTTATCTTCTAGATTACGTGGAATATTCTCTAGTTTGTATTTAATTTGTGCAAAAGTGCAGTTTCTAATACACCACAATTTGATATCTAAAAGCCAAGAGACACATCTTATGATCATCTTATTTCAAAATGTGGAGCTCGAATGGGGTAAAACGGGTACAACTAGAGAATATTTCATATAATCGAGAATATTCCACTAAATTTGACAATGCAAGGTGAACGTGTAAGAAGATTCATAATTGAGAGAGGGATTTATAATTACCCAAACATAAAAAAAATTTTCGTAATGTAACCTCACCTCAGGGGTGACCATAATTTATCTATGATGTTGTATGCATTGTGAAATGTATCAAGTTCAACCAAAAGAACACCGAATTCGTTCGAAATATTTGAAATAAGAGGCAGTGGAATTCGAACTCAGAACCTTTCGTTTGACATAACTTTAATACCGTATTGAATAATCATGATCAACAAAAAACTTAAATTATTAGTGAAATACATCATTTAATATAAATATATCTCAAATATTACCACGTACAATAACACAACATATTTGAAACTAGAATACATGTATTCATTTAAATATTGCAAATTTATTCATTTAAATTATATAATTAATGACGGATGATATGATTATATATCTCCCCTTTGAATGTACCTTTCAAGAACACAAATGATTGTTGTTGGTGACAAATAATAAGTAAAATTTCGACGCTCATTCGCATGCGGAATTATACTCAATCCTCTCAAATTCTCCGCTAATTATGATTTCTTGTCTTTTAAAGATCATATGCTAACATTATTCTAATACCCAATAATCAATACCAATAAAAAAATACACCAAATTTCTTTAGAATTAATTGTTTTGAAACAATTTATTTTAATTAATAAATATAAATTCATTTAACGGAAAAAAAAAAGAAAAAAAAAGAAATTCGTTCCAACAATTGGCTTAGAAATTCGAGGCCATATATATGGTACCAATTAGGGTTTAATTACCTTAGTGGTATCAGGAGTTTCTCCCGTAATAGTATTTGGTGAGAGATCGGGGGTTCGAATTAATACCGTAGAATGTGTGTGTGTTGTACGGCCATACTGTGAGGCCAATTTAAAAAAATATATTAAATAAATAAATAAAAAATCGAGGCCATAATATGGTAGGAAAATTATTTAAAACTGTCGAACCGGTTCAGTCGATCCATAAGAGTAACGTCCAATTGAAAGCTCGATGCCACCTGCCATTATTTGAAATGTATGATGGGGTCTCGGGATAATTACACTTTTGGTCCCTCATGTTTGGCCCGATTTCACTTTTGGTCCCCTTGTTTCAAAGTAAACAAAGTTCACCTCCAAGTTTCAATTTTAAACACTTTTGGTCCCTGCCGTTAAATTTCCGCTAGCAAGTAACGGAAAACACTATTTTTGGGTGAAAATTGAAATTTTAATTTTTTTGGGGCTGAAAAATAATTACAAACTAAAAAATAGACTACTTATAAATTTTAATAATAATGAAAAAAAAAAGAAATCAACCAAACAAATTGTTTTTTATTATACTTAATATTATTATAATTATACTATTTATAATTAAATTTTTAATAATAAAAAAAATTAACTAAACAAATTATTTTTAATCATACTTAATAATATATTTTTAATTATACTACTTATGATAAAGAAAAATTAATAACAAAAAATTAACTAACTAAACAAATTATTTTTTATTATACTTAATATTATTATATTATACTATTTATATTTTTTGCCAAAAAGATTTTATTTTTCCACTATGGTAAAAACGTTTTGGGGCCTCGTTGGTAATAAAAAATCCGAAGCGACCCTATCGATTATTTTGTTTTTAATAATAAAAAAGAAATTAATTAAATAAATGATTGTGAATTATACTTAATATAGTTTTAATTATACTACTTATGATTATTTTTTTAATAATAAAAAAAAAGTAATTAATAAAATTTCATTATACTTAATATTAAAAATTTATAAGTAGTATGTTTTCAATTTATAATTATTTTTCAGCCCCAAAAAAATTTAAAATTTCAATTTTCACCTCAAAATAGTGTTTTCCGTTACTTGCTAACGGACATGTAACGGCAGAGACCAAAAGTGTTTAAAATTGAAACTTGGAGGTGAACTTTGTTCGCTTTGTAACAAGGGGGACCAAAAGTGAAATCGGGCCAAACACGAGGGACCAATGTAATTATCCCATGGGGTCTCTATTACAAAATGGAAGACAATTTCTTTTTTTTTTTTTTTTTT